CTTGGCTCCTGGCTTTAGATTGTCACAGCTCTGGCCATTGCAGCCATTTGGGGAGTGAACCAGTAGATAGAAGACCTCTCTCTCTCTTTACCTCTGCTACTCTGTAACTCTGCCTTTCAAATAAATAAATAATTTTTTTTGAAAAAAAGGATTTAGTTATTTGAAAAGTAGAGTGATACAGAGAGAGAGAGAGAGGGAGAGAGAGATAGAGAGAGAGAGATCTTCTGTCTGATGGTTCACTGCCCAAATGTCCACAGACGCAAGGCTTGGACCAGGTCGAAGCCAGGAATCTCATCCAGGTCTGTCTCCCACGTGGCTGGCAGGAACCTATGTGCTTGGGCTATCCTTTGCCATCTCCAAGGTGCGTAAGCAGGGAGCTGGACTGGAAGCAGGGGAGCCAGGACTCAAACCGGCACTCCAGTATAAGGCAGAGGGGCGATCAAGCAGTGGCGTCACCTGCTGTGGCACAGTCCCCGCCTCTGGAAGATTACTTTTCTAATCAGCATTTATTGCCTTTCCTTCTAAGCTCCTCCCACCTCTGCCAACTCCACACACACCCAGTCTTTGTCTAATGGGAATCTAGTGAGGGCATTAGAAGAGGATAATCCCGAAAGATAACTGAAGGAGACACTTTGCAAGTAGCCAGAGCTGAGCACTCCACTCGGTGGGGGATGGCAGCGAGCAGGTGCACGCTCAGGGCTCCAGCTTGGACGCTGTGACGTCCAGAGCCCGCAAGTGCTGCTGCCGTAACCCCAGCTGTGCCTTCTGTCACCTGAGCGCCTGTGGGTGCCCAGGGAGCCTGACCAGGGTTGTGTAGCGATAACCCCGGTGCTCGGGGGTGGGGGTTCACTGTTGCTGTTTGCCTCGCTGTTGGCTCTCACGGTCACCTTAGGACCGGGAGGTCCCTTCTAGGATGGCGTGGACACGCACGGTCCAGTGTCTGGTGCACTTGCCTCAGGGGCAGCATCAGGGTCACCGTTGCTGGCGCTTGCGGCCACATCAGCGCTGGAATCTGTTTTAGAAAATCATTCACTCTGTGTACTCACTCTAAGGTCTGCTGTATTTACATCTGCCTTAACCCAGTGCCAGCACAGGACTAAACCAGCAGTTGCCTGACTATTACACTCGTGTTCCAGAACTCTCCACACCGAATCTGGAAAATCAGGGACAGCAGGCAAGCGTAGCTTCCGCAACCTGCAGTGACACAGCGAAATAAGAACAAGACGCCCTCCTCCTGACTTCGCTCTGCACGTCAGGTGGACTTTGGGAGTCTGTGGCTTGTGGGGACGGAACGAGTATTCGGAAGACCCCAGCACAAGGCCAGGGCCTCACAGCCAGGCAGGAGTGAACGAGGCCCAGCTCCAGGACTTTAGACGGAATCAGAGCAAAAGAGGGAAACCACGTCACTCCGGCCATTTAGAACCCGGCCGGCTTTGCTCTTCGCGTTTAATCTGCATACGAGGTTCACTTCAGACCAAAAGTCAGCCGAGGGTGAAACCAGACGCATTCCAACATGAGCCATTTGACTGGGAAATCTGCAGGAACAAAAAGCGATCTCGTTTTGCTTTGAAATGCAACCTTGAGGGTGGGCGAAGGCGTGTGACGTAGGGGCATCCGGCGCAGATGTCTTTAAAGGTTGTTTTGGGGCTGGGAGCCTGAATTTCTCAGTTTGCTGTTCACAGGAGATGGACCGTCCCTGCAAAAACAATCCGGGAGCTTGATGTTTTCCCCTTAAGATTATGTAACTGAATCCATCAGTGAAAGCAGGGCCCCGGCTGGCTTCTCGGTATTGGCTGGAACCCGCCGCCCGCCACCAAATCCTGAGCAAAAGCGAGCAGGGATGTCTCCCTCTGCTGGTGGGAGACTGAACTGTCTTCAGAGGAAAAGCCAGCGAGGCGAGGTAGTGGAGTAAGAGGAAACAGGTTCAAAGTGAGACAAAGCAGAGGAACGAGAGGAGAGGAGAGAGAGGGTAGGACAGGTGGGGAAGTGGGAGAGAAGCCGATACGGGGAAAGCGAGCAGAATTGATGAGGCCAGAGGGGCATCAAGTAGGGAAATCAGAAGGGGTGCGATGAGAATTAGAAGCGAAGGTTAAAGAACGGAAGGAGCAGAGGTACCACAGGAACCCCGGAGACCCTGGCCGTTTCCTCGTAGGTTCCCGAGTGGGCGTTGAGACGCCGGAGGTCCGTCCGCCCTTCGTCCCTGGCCTTTGCAAGGTGGAAGATGACCACTCACCGTGACGTTTTAGATATCCCCAGATCTTTGGATCTCTGAGTGTCTTTCTAAGACGGAGGAGTTCAGTGCAGGCGGAGTTGGGGTGGGGAGCATTCTGCATTCCAGCGGGCAGGGCGTGGTGTCGCGTCTGGTGAGCGGCTGAGTCCTGGGCTCCGCCGGCCGCTGCGGGCCCGTGCGTGAGTGAGCAGTGACTGGAATCAGGGTGAATGTGCCCAGCTATTTTCAAGGTTATGGGATGCATGAGGATTTCGACTCTCGGGGTCTAAATAAATACCTCGTGGGTATCCCGGCCACCAGCCCCCTCTGGGGAGGGTGCAGAGAGCAAGTTAATTACACCGCAGGGAGACACCCCACCTATACAGGGTCAAAGTAGAGGAGGTGCTGAAAGGTCAAGTTCAGAATAGCCCCTTGGAAGGATTTCTGAGTGACTGCTAGATTTCTACAGTGACCTGGCTCGGGCTTAGCTTCCTCCTTCACCTGCATTTTGTCCTTTTTTCGTTGTTAAGCCCCTTGATAGACCGGTGAGGGTTTTCGCCCGGGGCCCTAGGCAGCAAGGCTGCTGCAGTGTTGGCTGCCGTTGCCACGGAGTCGTGAGTCTGGCGCTGGCGTGGGCAGGAGTGCACCCTGGAGACAGGGTGCAGGGCAGGGCCCGGGAGGGCACTGGGCCAGTCCACCCCTCACTCGGGCTGTGCTCTGCTTAGGATGTCTGCCGCCGAGTCTCCGAAGGCACCTCCAGCCCCACTCCCACAAACACCTGCTGTCTGGAACTCCCCTGACCTCTGCTGGGTTCTGCTGGGTGCCCAGGGGCTCTGGGCAAGGCTTAGGTGGGAGGGGCGCCATCAGGGTAGAGGAAAAGGATGGCTGATGGGGTGTACACGTAGAAGAAAGAACATGAGCGGAGGGAGGAAGCGGAGGGCGGAGGGGGAGGGCGGGGAGGGTAAGGGGAGCCCGCCTCGCCCCCTCACTCGAACTGCGTGACCTTGGCCGTCTTCCGAGTCTGGGAGCCACTCAGCAGTACTTGGACTGATCCCTAAAAGAGCACTTGCCAATTCGTTTTCAATAATAATAATCACAAAAGGCTGTCTCCAGGCCAGCAGAGACCTGCACATCTAATCTGTAGTTCCTTGTTCCTGGGAGCTGGCACCACGGCCTGGACAGACACCGTTAGGACGAGGGAGGGCTCCGGAAGGCAAGGTCGGAAACCGGATTCCGCCAGCAGGAAAGGCCCTGGATCCTGAGCTGGGTTCATTGGCAAGGCCCCGGGCTCAGAGGCCGCCCTGCAGGAAGTCCACCAGCAAGAGCCTTAATGGAGGATTCCCATAGAACATCGTTTGCCAAGCACAGCCGGTCCCAGCCCCAGCAGAGCCACCTGCACTGGCTGTTTGGCCAGCGAGGCTGCTCTCGCCCGTGGAGCAGAGCCAAGCGGCCTGCCCAGGCCCTGGTGACCGCGGGTGACGGCCTTCCTGCTCACCCTCGCCCGAGCTGAGAACCCCTGCTGGGACTGCCGGTGACAGGAGAGCTGGGAGGGCCCCAGTCCCAAGCAACAGTGCACAGTCCTGCAGTAACCCTCGAGTTCCGGCCAAGAGGCTGAGGACACTGACGAAGCAGCCGCTGTCTTGGGCAGACACCCAGCTCCCCTGAGCCCAGGTGTCCCTCTGCACAGAGGTAAACGGGAAGAAACAGGGTGGGCACCCAGCTTACTGCTGCAGCACGGAGTCACCCGTGCCCCCCTGGCACCCGGACCCCTGCCTCCCTGGGACCAGAGCCGGCAAGGTCCCACACAGGCTCACGTTTACCGTCCCCAGATTGGACCCCTCTGATGTCCTCAGAGCTGTCAGGGACCCCCATCTGCAAGCTGGGACTGTGTGTGTGCGCGCCCAGCGGGGAAAATGTCACCAAGACGTGAGATGGATGCCATGCGACTCACAACACTGAGAAGAGGAAGTGGTCTTCTGCGGTGCCCACAGAACACACACACATGCACACGCATGCACACACACACACACACACACACCCGTGTGGCCCAGAAGCTGATAGAGTTCCAGCAGCAGGGAGCCAGGCGGCTCCACAGCAGTCGGCTCCTGTTGTCCCTGGTGCTGGCTTTCCTTTTTGGGGTGAAACAAGCATGAACTTGACCGTGTTGGCGATGTTTACACATGCGGCGTGGTGGTACCGGGTCGCAGGTGCAGCCCTCACCACCGGCCGCTCCCCAGTGCCCGTTCAGCGCTCACGTCGCACCCCGCTGCCCTCGCTGTCTCCGTGGGGCCCCGCTCCGTGGACTCAGACGCACTTCCTGCTCCTGGCGTCTTTGGCCTAGTGCGATGTCCCCCGGGCCCGCCGGGCGCGGGGATATTGCACTGTAGGGAAATAGCAGGCCGGGTGTAGCCCCTCGGCTGTGGTGGACAGTTAGGTTGTGCTGCTGTGAGTGTGGTGTTCAGTGTGCAGGAAATAGCCGCCCTCAGACTGCTGCCGGTGCCTGGACTCTGTCCATGGGCTTGCTTGAGACTGGGGACAAAGTCCACGGCGTCCTAGCCTGCAGCTGCAGCCACTCCCTGTAGGCCGACAGGTGCTATCGTATCTGAGTAGGGTGTCCAGGTGCCGGGTGCTGTTGGCCACATGCCCGGGGTAGGTGGGGGGTGGGGTCTGTCCAGATGCATGCGGGCTATGCTCGGCTCCCGCCTCTGCCTGGCCCTGGCCTCACTAACAGTGTCTCTTTTCTCGCACCCCGCCCTGGCCTCCTCCTTGCCGGCTCCTGCGGCTTCTCCAGTGCGACCAAGACCAGTGCATTCAGAGCACCAAATTCGTTTTGCAGGCCGCAGCCACGCCCCTGCTGCAGAGCGAGCCCAGCCTCACCAGCGACGAGCTGCACCTGTCGGGGAAGCCCGGCCTGGGCACGCCCTGCGCCAGCCTGACGCTGGGCCAGCCCACGCCGCCCTCCTCCATGCCCAACCTGGCCACCGAGGCCACGCTGGCCGACATCCTGCCCCTGAAGGAAGAGCACGGGGGCCACCAGTTCCTGACCCCCGACGAGGCGCCCTCACCGCCCCGGATGCTGGCGGCCGGCAGCCCCCTGGCACACAGCCGCACCATGCACGTGCTGGGCCTGGCCAGCCAGGACGCACTGCACGAGGACTCGGTGCGCGGCCTGGTGAAGCTCAGCTCCGTGTGAGCTGCCGGGCCGGCCCTGGGACTGCGTGACAGGTGCAGCGGGACAGCCCCAGCGGGGCACAGAGACCACTTGGATGAGGGCAGGCCCAGCCCGGCCAGGGGGTGCTCAGAGCTTGGTTTTATTTGAATTTTCTTCTCCACCCGGAGCGCTTGGACGAACATGAGCGGACACATGGCTGTGCCCGGGGACTGCGGGGGCTGCAGGGTGGGCCTGGGGAGGAGGAGCCGAGTCTGGGCGGAAGCCCCGGGGCGATCCGCTGCGGACGGCTCCTGGCACTTGTGGCCGAATGCCCTTGCCCTTGTGTGTCGCGAGGCTCCTGCTATTGGAGTAGACACGCCGTTCCGTTCGTTCCTGAGAAAACGCCACACCTAAAGGGCACCACACCGCCCCGCCGTGGGGCTGCATGCCGGCCAGAGCCCGTCCCACAGCCGTGTCGGCGCCCGAAGGCGGCGCTGCGCCCTCGCTCCCCTCTCTCTCCGATGCTGTGGACTCTCAAGTGCTGTTTTGTCAGAAAGCAGCGCAGCAGACCGAGCCTCCGGGCGACGCCAGTGCCACCACTTACAGCTTGTTGCACTCAGTGAGGTGTGGACGGGGCCTCCCGGGCTGCCTGGCCTTCTGTCCTGTAGTTAGGTAGCTGTCCCTCGGCCGCCCCCACCGTGTGTGACCAGCCTTCCCGGGACAGCCAATAAACCTCGCCCTCTGTTACTTAGGACCTGCGTGGGGTTGTGCTTGACAATAGGCTGATCGCCATCCGATGGCCTGTGCACACTTCGTTCTTTTGGGGTTTTTTTTTTTTTTTTTTTAAAGGTTGACATACTCGAAAGGCAGAGTTATAGAGAGAGAGAGAGAGAGAAAGGTCTTCTTCCATCTACTGGCTCATTCCCCCAAATGGCCACAACGGCCAGGGCTGGGCCAGGAGGAAGCCAGGAGCCTGGATCATCACCCGGGTCTCCCATGCAGGTGCAAGGGCCCAAGCATTTTGGGCCATCTTCCACTGCTTTCCCCGGCACATTAGCAGGGAGCTGGATCAGAAGTGGAACAGCTGGGGTATGAACTGGTGCCCATATAGGATGCCAGAGACAGGTTGCAGCTTTACCTGCCATACCGCCATGCCGGCCCAAGTCCGTTCTCACTGAAGTCTACCTGTTAAATGGGCCAAGAACTTTCTGAACTCAGATGAGAGACTCACTTTCCATCAGTCTCCCCAACTCCACCCCTTTCTCCTCTCCTCACCCTCCCTTCCCCTCTCCCTCTTTTCCTCTATCTCTTCCCCCCTCTCCCTCTCTCTCATTCCCCTCTCCCTCCCTCTCTCCCTCTTCCTCTATCTGTTTCTCTCCTCTGCCTCTCTCTCCCTCTCACCATCTCTCTCTCCCTGTCTCTCTCCCCCTCTCTTTTCTTCTATCTCTGCCCCCTCCCTCTCTCCTCTCTCTCCCTCTCACTTCTCTCCTCTCTCTCTCCCTCTCTCTTTCCCCCTCTCTGGTTTTGCTTTCTTTGCCTTAGCCATCTCTTTGGCGCAGTGTCAGGTGGCCACACAGAAGTGCACATGGGCTGGGGACAAGGGGACGGGGGATCCTTGGGGCAAGGGCACCATGGTCACTGAGCCTCACAAGCCAATCTGGGGCCCCAGGGCAGGTGTTAGAAAATGAGAAGGCAGCTGAAGGTGTGGGCTGAGCGCCTGTGGCTCTGCAGTCACCAGACACGGATCAGCATGGGAGGAAGAAGTTACCTTGTCCCCTGGGAGGCAGCCGCAGGGACTCAGCCACTGCTCTCCTGGCCTCTCTGCAGATGATAGCCCACAGCCAAATCCGCTGTAGTTCAAAATCATGCTCGTGTCCCTTCCAGCCATGTGAGAGACGAGATGCATTGATCATTCACACAAGGAACCCCAAATGATTTAAACTTATGGGGAAAAGGCCATTTGAGTAGAGGCAAATTAACAAGAGCAAGAATGAGGAAGAAAGGCACCACGCCAAGCTTTATGGGGTGTAATACCAACTCTCTGAGGGTCAAACAATAATTTGTGTTGAAACACCCCGCAGAATTCTCGCACCACGGTGTCTGAGCCATCTTGGTGCTCCCTACTATCTGTGTGGATAGGAAATGGGAGAGTGGATCGTGCGTAGCTGTTTCCTGGGCCTGCTGAATACCTGTAGCCTGTAATAAGGGGAGCAGGGTCCTCCCCACACAACCTCAGCCACAGGGACTCGGACGTGCGTGTGCCCGGGAGCACAGCGACCACCCCCGAGGGACCGTCCACAGGTTCCCCAACCATCCTGCTCCCGAGAGACCCCAGGAGCGAGCTGGCCCTGAGAAGAGAAGGCGGCTCAGCCTCTCTGATGTCACGTGAGGCCCAGTCCGTCTCCAGGTCCCACCCTAGAAGACATGGCCAGTGGTCTCTGCAGCCCGTCCACCGCGGCCGTCGCCAGTGTCACAGCGGCCGGTCTCCTGTGCCCACCCTTCTCCCCAGCCCCTGAGGACAGCCCGGGAAGCCAGGATCATTCACTTGCCTTCAGGTGACGAAGCTCTGCGTGGTGTCGCTGCACCGGGGGCTGTAACAACAAGGGCACTGGGCGCTTTGGAGAAAGGAGTCAAGGCCACCGAGGGTCAAGAGGGAGACGGACTTGAACGGGCCAATGCTGAGACGGTGATCTGGAGGACCTCGAGCCGAGAGGGGCCCACAGCCGTTTCCTCTGTGACTTGGGGAACAACGCGGAGGCAGGAATGAGTGTGCTCGCCCGCAGGACCCCCGAGTGGGGTGGGAGGGTGGTCCGGGGGGGAGGGCACCGTGTCTCCCAGCAGCTGAGGGTGTCCTCGCGTGCACACGGTGGGGTTGAGCGGACCCGTCTAGCTGTGGCTGAGACCTGACACTTCTCAATTCTCTGCGCGTGGTGCCGAGGCTGCATCCAGCCAGGAAAAAGAAGGCAAATGCTTTACCAGGCTATCAGAGCTGGGCTGGTGTCAAACACACACACACACGCACTCTGATTCGTCTGCTCCCATTCTCCGGGGAGTGGGCGGGGCACCTTGCTGCAGGGAGCCGCGTGCCCTGCTTCCAAGAAGGGGCCGGGACCTGTGGCCCTGGCCGGGGAGAAGCAGCTGGTGTGCGTGCTGCCCTCGGCTGAACGCTCATTCCAGCGTTCAGATGTGCTCACTGGGGCCCGAGACAGTGACGCTGTTGCCCACCCCAAGCCAGCCAGGTGCCTCTCTGGCCCAAGTGGCACCAAGGAGGGTCTTCCCGTGCACTGGAGTCTTCGCCTGTCACTTCTAGAATTCCCGACTGCGGCTCAGAGGGAGTTGGGAACGCCATTGTGGGCCCCGCCCCTCTGTGGTTCTGAAAACCGCTTAGCACCTCCTGCCCGGGCTGCGGGCCTTCTGATCTGATCCAACAACAAGGAGAAAGTCTCCCTAAATAAGAGCACTGCGGCTGGTGGTGGCGTCTCCAGGGACCTCCTAGGACGGGACCAGTCAGCGGCTTTAGAAGGGCACAGCCTGGCGGGCTGCTCCCTGGGGACCTCCATCTCCCACCCACCCCAGTACACCCTGCTCTTCAGCGTTCATCCCACACACGCACCCCTGCATGCCAGTAACCACCCACTTCTCACCTCCACTTCAGGGTGTGAGTTTGCGGGAGGATGAGGGGGTTTGCACCCGTGAACGTAGGCATCTCTCCCCACAGGGACCCTGTGGGGCCCGGTGAGTTCTTGACCAGGCAAGGAGAGAATAACGGGGAACAGCTGTTGGCTGTGCGTTTCTCATTACTGCCTTACACCTGTTTTGAAGCTGAGCCCAAATGAAATTGATGTTTACATTTTTTATTAAGTACACATGAGTTGTGGGACTCTAGCGTATTCTTGTCCAAAAACAGAATTGAAGAAGCTTTCTCACTCCTCCGGCCGCCCCCACCTGTTCTGGAGGCCTGTGGATGCAGTCTGTGCTGCTGCCTTCCCTCATTAAAAACCGCCTCTGAGTTCCCAGAAAACCTCAATCAACCTCTTCCTCTCTCTCTCTCTCTCTCTCCCTCTCTCTCTCTCCTCTCTCTCTCTCTCTCTTTGTGTGTGTGTGTGTGTGTGTGAAAGAATAAGTTATCATCGAAATAGCAAACGTGCTGCAGTGTCTTTTTCTTTCAGATACCTGGCAGAGAGGCTGGTAGTTTGTAGTTCAGGATCCCTCTCGCCGTCTGCCCGCTGTCCGTGGTCCTGAAGACACAGCCAAGATGGATTTTCTTTCTTTTTTTTTTTTTTTAAAGAATTATTTTATTTATTTGAAAGAGTTACAGAGAGAGGTAGAGCCAGAGAGAGAGAGAGAGAGAGAGAGAGAGAGGTCCCCCATCCGCTGGTTCACTCTCCAATTGGCCACAATGGCTGGAGCTGCGCCAATCCGAAGCCAGGAGCCTCTTCCGGGTCTCCCACATGGGCGCAGGGGCCCAAGGACCTGGGCCATCCTCCACCGCCCTCCCAGGCCACAGCAGAGAGCTGGATCGGAAATGGAGCAGCTGGGACTCGAACCGGCGTCCATATGGGATGCCGGCACTGCAGCTGGAGGTTCCACCCACCATGCCACAGCGCCAACCCCGCCAAGATGGATTTTCAAAAACAAGCGGTTAGTGCACTAATCCAGCCGTTGAAAGTAATGGGGAGATGGAAGATGAGATTGCTTCTCGAGCAGCTCCATTTGCAGCTGCCACAAAACCAGGTAAATGCCTTCATCTGGAATCGCTGTCCAGTGCCCTCAGCCCCCGGAATCACATTCAGGGCGGATTGGAGGCAGACGACATGCTGCGCTCTTGCTAAGGTTTCTCTGCTCCAGTCGCTGACGCAACTCTCGTTTGCCCTCCTGATCGGCCGGGGGCCCCGCCCACACACGGGCTCACACACAATCTGTGTGAATGGAGAAGGTTTTAGCTGCAAAAAGAAAAGAGTTGACGCCTTGCTCACTTTTGCTCGAGCGTTCTGGGTTGGTGTTTCACTGCAGGTAAACATTTTCGCATGAACAAGGGGAAAGAGAAGCATTTTCCACTCCGTGGATACAAAGCCCCCAGTCTGAATGGTGGTGTATATATGTACAGGACACTGTGTGTTTTCTGAGAGATGTATGCTTATTTAAGTGCCTTTCCTGTCCTAATCAATGCCTGCAGAATTGATCTTAAACCTGAACTGAATTAAGGAAGCATTTTGCTTCTTCAATAAAAGCTGCTAATGGCGTAACATGTAAACCTCTGTCTTTGTAAGGTAGACATGGTGCAGGTCCACGTGGTTTAGAGAAGAGTTGGATCGATTTGCATGTGGTGACCGTGTACTGGGGAGGCCCCCGTGTGGATGAGAGTGGGGCTTTCTGACCTCAGACACCCAGACTGCTTTCCTGCAGCCATGGTTCTCTACTTGCCATTGATGGCTTTCTAGCAGTACAGAAATTCACACCTCCTAAGTGTCGCTCCCCCATTCGCGGAGGAATGACACCAGACCCTGCGCTGTTCTTTTATCTGCTCGGCTCTTCCCGGGTTAGCTGCCGTTCCCTCACTCGTGAAGGAACGACGCCGTCCCAGGTTAGCTGCCGGCCCCCCGCCTCTGTGGAGGGGCAGCACCCCCCGCCGTTTTCGCTGCTTCTGTGGAGGAGCAGCACACCGCCGACCGGCTCTCTCGGGGGCTGCTCAGATGTTCCTCAGGTGTTCCTTCAGATGTTCCTGGTGCATGTTGTCTCTCTCCTCCTTTAT